CCACGAGGCCCGCCCCATTTCTCCCCGAGCTGCAAGAGGACCTGTCGAAATCCTGGAAGGCTCCTTTTTTGGCTAGGCTGAGATTGTCTGTCTCTTCGACGCTCTCCGTTGTGGATGGCGCGAAGGACAAAGGATATGTTTCCATTCCTCCGGTCGAGGAAGCGATCGCAACGCACCTTTGCCCGCCCTCCGCTGGATGGCGCTCTAAGGCCGCTTTGCCTTCTAAAGCCTGCCGAACTACTTCCGCCTTCGTCAGCTGCGCTTACACCGCCGCTGGCCAGGCCGCCTCAGCACTCCACACGATGGCAGTGCTGCAGATTTACCAAGCCAACCTTCTCCATTCCTTGGACGAGGCGGGCATGGACCCCAACAGCTTTACTGACTTGAGGAGCGCTACAGACCTAGCTCTGCGAGCAACCAAGTCCGCCGCCCAGGCCATCGGGAGGAACATGGCGTCCCTCACCGTTGTCGAGAGACATTTGTGGCTGACACTGTCAGTTATGAAGGACGCTGACAGAGCCTCCTTCCTTGACGCGCCTGTGTCTCTTTCCGGGCTTTTCGGGCAAGCTGTTGATGGGTTTGTGGAGCGTTTTTCAGAGGTCCAGAAGACGTTGCAGGCTATGCGGCACTTCATTTCTCGATGCTCGAGTTCCGCGTCAGGACGCTCTAGGAAACAGCCGCCTGCACGGAAAACAGCCTCCCCGCCGCCTCCACCGCCAGCTTCTCAGCGTCAGCGATCAAGAGAGCGCCAACGCTCGAGCTCGGCTGGCCGTCGCAGGCCGCCCCCTCCTCGGGGACCCAGGCCCAAGATCACGCTGGATCCTGTGCCACCGAAATCTTCCTGACTGTAGGAAGACGGTGAAGGTCGAGTCCCGCTGCGGCCGGACCGCCTTTGAAATTAGCACGTGTCGCTCTCACAGTTCCCGCGGCCGCGGTAACTGGTGTTACGTTCGTAGATATTCCTTTTTGCTTGTGCGCTCTCTCTCTCTCTCTCTATCAATTTCTTAGGTCATCCTTCTCCGCTTGCTGATTGGCCCAGGAAACTGTCAATCATCATCAAGGGATGTGACGTGGATCTATCCGCTGTCTGAGACGTCCTCACTACCAGTTAAAAGACGCTGGAAACAGACTGAAGAGAGTCCCGTTTTGATTTCTGGTCCTTTTGCTGCCATTGTGATTTTTGTTTTCGTTTGGGACTCGTTTGACTTGTTAATTTGCTTATGCTAGTTGTGTTTCTTAAGTTTGTTTTGTTACTTTGTTTGATTACTTTGGGATGACGTTCTTGATTCGACTTGTGTAGAGCTTGTGCTCTTTTGTTACCCTTTGCTCCAAGGAATGGGGGATAGGGAAGATGTCGTACGACTTCCATTGTGCAAACATCTAGACTAAACTTTGTATAGAAACACCAGGTAAGAGGTGAACGCCACCCTTGTATGTTTTGTTTTTGTGAGCCAGAGTAGGGAAGAACACGGCGCTTGGCGCTGAAGAAACAATTCTTTTCTTTCCTTTTCTTTAGCTAGGTAAGAGGGTTGAATTTGGTTAGAATTGTTTTCTTTTTGTTTCTTTCTTTATTTTGGCGTCACTTTAGTCCCTTTTTCCTTAAGGGTAAATTGTTGTTTACTTTCTTTTATTTTATTTATTACTTATCCTTGTTGTTTTCTTTATATAATTGTTTATATTGCTGGAGGCTGTTAGCTTCCTTATTGTTCCTAAGTTACTTTATTATTCATTCGTTATTCCTTATATTTTTTTCTTTGTATAATAAATATCATTATTTTCATTGGCAGTTTGGTTTCGCTTATCGTTTCTTGACACACACTACCATTTCTAAAGTTTTACAAGGTTTTCTTTAATGTTACTCCTCTAGCCCCTAGATTAGATTAGAGGGGTCGTAACATTAAATGGGGGCTCGTCCGGGATACAAATAGCAATGCAAATTGTTGTTGGTATTGGAAAGTGCCTGGAAGAAAATAAATGAAGACGGTAGTTCTGTGGATGTGTGGTGTTGTCATGAGATTGACGTTGCGCGGTTTGTAGTGTTGGGACCGGATAGTAATCACTCATGCAGGGTATTAGCGGGGTGCTTATCGAATTGTTATTCATTTTGGAAATGTTTAACTTAGTGCTGTCAAACGATTAAAATATTTAATCGCGATTAATCGCATTAATGTCATAGTTAACTCGCGATTAATCGCATTTAATCGCACATTTTTATCTATTCTAAATGTCTCTTGATTTCTTTTTGTCCCATTATTTTTTCTCATTTTAATGCTGTTATCAACATGGAAAAGTGGATCAGCTTGCTTTGTGCTAATGTTTTTTTATTGAAAACAATATTGCTATATATACTGTTCAATTTCACACTAAAACATTCTCACTTGGAGCAAATAATCTCTCTCACAATGTAACACTGTCCATCAATAAAAGGGTGAAAGAAATACTGACGAGGTCCTGATATTGACGAGGGGGCGGGGAATTCGCATCAGCTGTGTGTGTGTGTGCTGGCCATCATCAAGTGGTATTTCAGACTGGACGTGCTGCGATGATGATAGCTCAGTTCACAACGACAGACACACAGATCACTTTGGTCTTGTCAATGGAACCATTTGGCAACTTTTTAAAAGTAAACTTTCCATTCAGAATCTTATTGGCATCCATTTCGGCGTCTCGCGCTCGTCATCCACTCAAAACTGGACGTTTTGAACGTTCCAATAACATTCAGAAATAACATTTTTATAACTTAATGGGACCGTTATGAAAACGTTGTTATAACCTAAAATTGTTAGCTGGGGAAGAGGAGAGATTCGCGATTGCACTGACTGAACACGTTTTAAGTGCAGGCATATTCTCTGAGCGAGCCCAGAGAAAATTCTTACAAGAGCAGCGTGTATCTGAGAGCGCGCGACTTGAGCAGAGAGATTCGTGCTCGGCACATTATATTCCGCGCGCGAGCAGAGAGATTCGCGCTCGCGCATCCGGCTCGCAAGCCCAAACAAGTGTGTGCAGCGTGCCTGTTGTTTTGTTTCTGGTCTAGCTAGATCCGCTTGCGCTTTCAAAACGTCCTCTTGCGGCGCAACCATTGAAATGAATGGGTTTCATAGCGCAGCGCCGCGCATGCCGCGTCCTGTTGCAGAAGCATGTGAAAAAAAACTACAAAGTTTGCTAGGCCAAAAAGACCGTTAATCGCGCGATAAAAAAATTACCGCCGTTAAAATGGGTTTGCGTTAACGCCGTTAATAACGCGTTTAACTGACAGCCCTAGTTTAACTTGAAAGATTTTGTAGGTAGTCCGTCAGTAGAGCAGGTTAATCTGTGCAGGAAGCAGGAGTTGTTGCAGATCACAGACCATTTTCAAATTGTGGTAAGTAAACAGTCTCTTAAAGAAGAAATAAAACAAGTTCTGATTCGCAAATTGAATGAGTTGCAGGTGTTGCCTATGTCAAACGTGGGAAATGTTCCGGCGCAAGTCTGTCATGAGGAGGAAGCCACGCAGAGTGGTGGAGCTGTTGCTGACGCAGATGCGGAAGCCGAAGCTAAGGCTGGCTTGTCGCCATTTGGGGCGTTCTCACCCAGTTCTGTGGAGTCACGGGAAAGTCCGCGACTGATAGTCCGGCTTGCCCGTTTGCGCTATGAAGCGCAAGAGAAAGCCCAGGCGCGCCAAGCTAACTTGAACTTGCAGCTGGAGATACGCAGGTTGGAAATCGAAGCAGAGACACAGGTGAAACTGAGGGAACTTAAGCTGGAGGCATCAAGAGTTACTGCTAACTCAGCTGTACAGTTGAACACCGCCTCAGTTTTTTCTCCTTCGCCGCGTGTTGGTTCCAGCCCAAATACCTTTGACGTGAGTAAACACATTGCACTCGTTCCTCAATTTAGAGAGACAGAAGTTGACTCTTATTTCAGTGCGTTCGAACGCATTGCAACTTCTTTTCATTGGCCTAAGGAGGTTTGGTCTGTGCTCTTGCAATGTAGACTATTTGGTAAAGCGCAAGAAATTTGTTCTGCGTTGTCATTGGAAGAGAGTCTGAAATATGAGTCTGTGAAGACCGCTATCTTGCGAGCTTATGAGTTGGTTCCGGAAGCTTATAGGCAACATTTTAGAAAACATAAAATGAGTCCTACGCAAACATTCACGGAATTTGCTAGGGAGAAAGGAGTGTTGTTTGATAAATGGTGTACCGCCAGTAAAGTGAGTGATTTTGATGCTTTAAGAGAATTGCTGTTACTAGAGGAGTTTAAAGGATGCTTATCTGATCGTATTGTAGTATATCTTAATGAACAGAAGGTAACTACTCTGTCACACGCCGCTGTACTCGCAGATGAGTTTGTTTTAACCCACAAGAATGTATTTGCCTCTACACGTCCTGAAAAGTTGCAGGTTGATAGCTCGCACTTTCAATCGTCACGTTCAAGAGTTAGCCCTCCTCGTAATAGAGAGGAGCGTGAATGTTTTTACTGTCACAAGAAAGGGCACGTGATTGCGGATTGTTTGGCATTGAAGCGCAAGCCACAGCATCAACCAAAGGGCGTGGGGTTTGTGCAAGCTTTTAAATCGGGAGCTATGGTGAATACAGAGGAGAAAATTGATGAGAGTTATCGGCCCTTTGTGTCAAAGGGGTATATATCTCGGTCCGGAAAGGCAGAAGATCAGAAAGAGATAAGAATACTCAGAGACACTGGTGCGATGCAATCGTTTATTTTAGTAGATAAAATAGAGCTGTCTTGTGATACTTTCTGTGGTTCTAGTGTAATCGTGCAGGGAATTGAGATGGGTTGTATGAAATTTCCACTACATCAAGTACACTTACAGAGTGAATTGTGCACTGGTTTTGTTAGAGTTGCTGTTTGTCCTTCACTTCCTGTGAAGGGTGTTGACTTTATCTTAGGAAATGACTTGGCAGGTGGGAAGGTAATGTCCGTGATCGAAGTCATTGAAGAACCAAAGGTGTCCTGTGAGTTAGAAGGATTAGCTGAAACTTACTCTGAAGTTTTTCCAGCCTGCGCTGTCACATGCGCTCAGTCGCGCAGAGTGGGTGATGTAGTGGATCTGTCTAGCTCATTCATGTTTCCACTTTTGACTGGAGAGACGTTTTTGGGTGTGAATCAGAAAGAAGAAAATAGTTCAGAGACAGAAAATAAAGGTGTGGTTGAGTTTGATGCAGAGTTACTAAAGTTACCTGTATCTCGTGAGAAAATTATCACTGCACAAAAGGAGGACAAAACACTTGTTAACATCTTTGGGGGTGCTGTCTCTTTGGATGGTGTCAAAGACAGAAAAAGTGCTTACTTCATTGAGAATGAACTACTGATGAGGAAATGGTGTTCTCATGTTGATGAAAACTTAGATTGGAATGTTGTTTATCAAGTTGTGGTTCCGTCTCCTTATCGTCAACATGTCTTGTTTCTGGCTCATGATCACCAGCTTTCTGGTCATTTAGGAGTTACTAAGACCTATAACAGAATTTTGAGTCATTTCTTCTGGCCAGGATTAAAGAAAGATGTTGCCCAATACTGCCGTACCTGTCACACTTGTCAGATTGTGGGAAAACCAAACCAGAGTATACCACTTGCTCCTTTGACTCCAATACCGGCGATTGGAGAACCATTTGAACATGTGCTTGTTGACTGTGTTGGCCCATTACCTAAGACTAAGAATGGTAATCAGTTTCTGTTAACTATCATGTGTGTGAATACCAGGTTTCCAGAGGCGATTCCTTTGAGGAAAATCACGGCACCTGTGGTCAGCAAAGCGTTGGTGAAATTCTTTTCCACATTCGGCTTACCGAAGGTAGTGCAAACGGATCAAGGTACGAATTTTCTATCGAAACTATTTAACCCTTTAGGCGCCAGAGGTTTTTTCCTAAAACGTTCGATTTTGACATCTCAATTTCAAAAGGCTATATCTTAAAAGTGATAAAAGATAGAGACTTTCTGTAAATTAGAGAAATATTAAGGATGACCCAAAGTTTATGTAGGGATTAATTTTTTCCATCTAATTTGCATATTATGACGTCATATGGTGGCGGCAATCTTGGATTATAGAATTTTCATGAAAAGTCACATGTTTTAATGATAAAATGCAGCACTTCTTTCCCCCCAAAATGTCCATCACCTTCTGTATGTTATATTGCACAATACTGAATGCTCAGGTATATAGTAAGTAGTAAACAAACTGTGTAAATCATTACTAATAAATGGTAGAAACAAACCGAATGCATGTAGTGGTTGCCTTTTGCTGTAGAGATTTTCCATTTACTAAATACAGTAGACACTCTGATTCCATGTATGGGGCACATATATATTATTCATATGACATACAAACACAAGTAGACAAGACCTGTTTAGTTCAAACGCTCACTCGCACAGATCATGAGTGAGATGATACGAGCAGCGCGGCCAGATCTGCCTCGCGCGCGCGCGCCGAGTGTGCACAGCTCGGACTGCTGTCATTGTCATTGCGACTCCCCACCCTGCATCCACGTTGTCTCCTAACTGTCCTATGAATACTTCGACCTCGTCTAACATACCCAGTGGCATTAGACAAAGTCTCCACCACAATACTGTCGCCGCGATTGCGGAGAGGATCTGATAACATGGCTCACTCGCACACTAGCTCCGCTTTTGATCTCATTGATTCAATGCGCTCTAACTCGAACATTTTGTATAGAAACATGACGTTTTTTTGATTCGGGGATGAAATATGACATGTCTGCCATCCAGTGGAGGGGAGGTCGAACGAAATTTGACACCCAATTTGACAAAATCGGCCGTTTTATTCAGTGCCTCATCTTGTCGAGTAAACTCGACCGTGGCGCCTAGAGGGTTAAACAAGTGCTTGAGTCACTAGCAATTTCTCATAGAGTTTCGAGTGCATATCATCCGCAAAGCCAGGGCGCATTGGAACGTTTCCACCAAACTCTGAAGTCAATGCTGAAGAAATATTGTCATGATACTGCTAAAGAATGGGATGAGGGAGTTCCTTTGGTTTTATTTGCTGTTCGAGAGACCATTCAAGAATCTCTCGGGTTTAGTCCAGCCGAACTTGTGTTCGGACACAAAGTTAGAGGTCCATTGAGAGTTCTTAAAGAACGAGTTTTAGCACCTGATTCGAATACAAATCTCAACATATTAGATTATGTAAGTAAGTTTCGTGATCGACTTCATGCTGCTTGGTTGCTAGCCCGAGAATGTCTTGCAGATCCTCAGAAAGGTATGAAGAGTATATACGATAAAAACTCAGTAGCGCGATCTTTTCAATCTGGAGAAAAAGTACTTGTGTTGTTACCTGTTCCAGGATCATCGTTATCTGCTCGTTTCTATGGTCCTTATGTTGTAGAAAAGAGAATGAGCGAGACTGATTATATGTTGCGTACACCTGATCGGAAACGAAAGACCCGTGTATGTCATCTAAACATGTTGAAAGCTTACCATACTAGGGAGTCGTCAACGGCGAGCGTCGCAGGAAAGACGGCAGGGCCCGCTGTTTCTTCTGTTGCGATGGCCGTGGATCGGAAGTCATCTCCTGATGGCTCGGAGGCAGACTCTGATGGTGTGGTACTTCGACATGCTTTTCATCAGGGTGTAAGGTTAGGAAATTCTGAGATTTTACAAGATCTTCATTCGCATGTTAGTCATTTGACTGTGAACCAGAGAATAGACATTGTGAAAGCACTTGCTGATTTTAAATGCCTGTTTGGTGATGATCCTACACAAACAAACGTTCTGAAACATGATATTGATGTGAACGGAGCTCGTCCAATTAAGCAACATGCTTACCGTGTGAATGCCATAAAAAGGTTTGTAATGAGTAAAGAGGTGGAGTATCTGTTGGATCATGGACTAGTCAAATCCAGTTACAGTCCGTGGAGTTCTCCATGTTTACTTGTTCCCAAACCTGATGGGTCAGTTAGATTTTGCACAGACTATCGTAAAGTGAATTCAGTGACTGTACCAGATAGTTATCCGTTACCAAGAATGGAAGATTGTGTCGATAACATCGGTTCTGCGCGTTTTGTAACCAAGCTTGATATGCTAAAAGGTTATTGGCAAGTGCCGCTTACCTCAAGAGCTTCAGAAATCTCAGCATTCGTAACTCCAGACAATTTCCTTCAGTATACGTCGATGGCTTTCGGTCTTCGAAATACTCCCGCAACTTTTCAACGCCTTGTTAATATAGTTTTACATGGTGTGCCAGATTGTAATGCCTATCTTGACGATTTGGTTTTATATTCTCGAAGTTGGTCAGAACACATCAGTCTGTTAAGAACAGTATTCGAGCGACTCGCTAAGGCAAATTTGACACTTAACTTAGCAAAATGTGCGTTTGGCAAAGCAACCGTTACTTACCTAGGTAAGGAGGTTGGTCAAGGTCAAGTGAGACCCATGGAAGCTAAAGTAACTGCCATCGTTGAATTTCCAATTCCTACCACTCGTAGAGAGTTGCGGAGGTTCCTAGGAATGGCAGGTTACTATCGTGGGTTTTGTAAGAATTTCTCGACCGTTGTGAGTCCTCTTACTTCACTGCTTAGTCTATCTAATGCTTATGAGTGGTCAATTGAGTGTCAACATGCTTTCGATTCAGTTAAAACTTTGATGTGCAATGCTCCTGTCTTAATGGCACCTAACTGTGACCAGCCGTTTAAGTTAGAGGTTGATGCAAGTAATGTGGGTGCTGGGGGTGTTCTTATTCAAGAAGATGCAAATGGTATTGATCATCCTATCAGTTACTATTCTCGCAAGTTTAACAAACATCAAGTTAATTATGCTACTATCGAGAAAGAAGCTCTTGCTTTGTTGCTTTCGCTACAGCACTTTGAAGTGTATCTCGGTTCTAGTAGTCTTCCGATTGTAGTGTATACAGATCACAATCCACTAGTGTTCCTAACCAGAATGTGTAATCACAACCAACGATTGATGCATTGGGCTCTTGTTGTCCAGAACTACAACCTAGAGATCCGACACAAGAAGGGATCAGAGAATGTGTTGGCCGATGCTCTGTCGAGAGTTTAATTTTTTTTGGGGTAGAGATTTGTTCACAAAAGCGAGTTTGTTCTTAAGTGTGGGAGTGTTACGTTCGTAGATATTCCTTTTTGCTTGTGCGCTCTCTCACTCTCTCTCTCTCTATCAATTTCTTAGGTAATCCTTCTCCGCTTGCTGATTGGCCCAGGAAACTGTCAATCATCATCAAGTGATGTGACGTGGATCTATCCGCTGTCTGAGACGTCCTCACTACCAGTTAAAAGACGCTGGAAACAGACTGAAGAGAGTCCCGTTTTGATTTCTGGTCCTTTTGCTGCCATTGTGATTTTTGTTTTCGTTTGGGACTCGTTTGACTTGTTAATTTGCTTATGCTAGTTGTGTTTCTTAAGTTTGTTTTGTTACTTTGTTTGATTACTTTGGGATGACGTTCTTGATTCGACTTGTGTAGAGCTTGTGCTCTTTTGTTACCCTTTGCTCCAAGGAATGGGGGATAGGGAAGATGTCGTACGACTTCCATTGTGCAAACATCTAGACTAAACTTTGTATAGAAACACCAGGTAAGAGGTGAACGCCACTCTTGTATGTTTTGTTTTTGTGAGCCAGAGTAGGGAAGAACACTGCGCTTGGCGCTGAAGAAACAATTATTTTCTTTCCTTTTCTTTAGCTAGGTAAGAGGGTTGAATTTGGTTAGAATTGTTTTCTTTTTGTTTCTTTCTTTATTTTGGCGTCACTTTAGTCCCTTTTTCCTTAAGGGTAAATTGTTGTTTACTTTCTTTTATTTTATTTATTACTTATCCTTGTTGTTTTCTTTATATAATTGTTTATATTGCTGGAGGCTGTTAGCTTCCTTATTGTTCCTAAGTTACTTTATTATTCATTCGTTATTCCTTATATTTTTTTCTTTGTATAATAAATATCATTATTTTCATTGGCAGTTTGGTTTCGCTTATCGTTTCTTGACACACACTACCATTTCCACAGTTTTACAAGGTTTTCTTTAATGTTACTCCTCTAGCCCCTAGATTAGATTAGAGGGGTCGTAACACTGGAGATGTGTATTCTACAGCCAACGAGCCAGTTGCACAACCCGCTCACCTGTACCCAAACGCCGTTTTCACGGCGACCCAGATAAATCTCAAAAAGAGCATTATGTCTGTTTATCCGGCTATCGCCGAAGGTGTTTTAAATGTAGGAAATGTGCCCACGTCCCAGTGTTCACTCCTACACATAAGCACGGCCCACTCAGTGACACACTCTCATTCAGGGCCTGTTTCAATGCCGATGGTGTTTTAAGTGTAAAGAAGGTGCCCGCTTCTCAGCACGCACGCTTACTGTTAAACACTGCGCCCTCTGTGCCGCGCACACACATAAATCATTCCCCATCCCACGTGACCAGAATGTTATGTGTAAATCAACCCGCTGCTGGTCTCAGCGCGCTGCCTCAGATAAACACTGCAAGCACAGTGTCAATTTATCAGCCCTATCGGGTCTCCGGGTCCCTAGCTTACAGCAACCAGAGCCCAGATACTATTCTACCCCTAGCTATACGTGCAAAAGCATGGGAAGCTATCACGGGCGTGTCAGATTGGGTGCTGAACATTATAAAACAAGGCTACTCACTGCAGTTCGCTCGCTGACCCCCGCGCTTTCGAGCCCGGGTCGAGACTACAGTGGATCAGAAAGTAGCTCATCTGCTTCGAGCCGAGATAACGAAACCGTACTTGAAGGGCGCCATAGAAACCATCCCTCTAGACCAGAGCGAGTCGGGTTTCTACAGCCGTTACTTCCGGCTTTTAAACAGAGCTCTCATGAAGCGATCGTTCAAAATGACTACAACCAGACAAATTCT